CGCGCGCGTGCATGTGTGACAAAGAGAAAGACAGACAGACAGACAGACAGACAGACAGACAGGGAGGCCCACATAGTTTAATTAAGGTTATTTGTATGAGCATGGGTAGGAGGTTATTTACAGGAATACAGACAACTTACTGTGGCTACACCACTGATGAAAATGACTCCTCTGAACCAGCCATTATTTGCCCTGTAGCAAATTTGGGGGGGTGAGTTGTTTTTTTTCGAGACAGGGTTTCTCTAGCTTTTGGAGCCTGTCCTGGAACTCGCTCTGTAGACCAGGCTGGTCTTGAACTCTCAGAGATCTGCCTGCCTCTGCCTCCCTAGTACTGTGTTTTAAGGCGTGAGTCACCAACACCCGGCTGCCCTATAGCTTTTCAAGAATGGGTGAGATTCTTTAATTTTTCAATGCTTTTCAGTGCTAACCTAGGTCCTCTGCAAGAGCAGCCAGTGTTCTTAACCACTGAGCCATCTCTCCAGCCTGGGAGTATTTCATAAGTGATTGTCCCTTGTCCTGTTCCTTCATTACTCTTGGATTAGTTGCTAGTCTACAGAAATCCAGTAGTTGTTTCTCTGTCTTGATCTCGTTTTCTATATAACCTTACTGAACCTTCCTATAAGTGGTTCTAGGACATTTTATGTGTATGATGTCAACTTCAGATAGTTTTGACTTTATAGAACGAGTTGCTTTTTATTTCTTTCCATTAGCTTTATTTCCCTGGCTGACAATCTCCAGTACGGTGCTGAACAGAAGTGGCAGAGGGAGGCACTCTCCCCAAACTTGATCTTAGCCAAAAGACAAAGGCCTGATCTTGCCTTGTTTCTGATTTTAAGAAGAAAACTTTTAGCTTGTAGTTTTTTGTTTCTGAGTTTGTTTTTTAAACTGTTTGGGGTTTTGTTTTTAGAGACAGCACCCCAGACTATAGCCCAGGCTGGCTGAAACTCCTTGTGTAGTCCAGGTGGCCTCAAATCCTGACAGTCGTCCTGCCTCAGTCTCCCCAGTGTTGGGATTTCAGGTGTGAGCTACCACTGCCCTGCAGTGTGTAAGCATTAATTGTAAAATTGCTTTTGGATTTAGTGGTGGTGATATACTTTTACAGGTTAAAGAAATTCCCTTCTCTTTGTATTTTTATGGGGTTTTTGTTTGTTTTGGTTTTTGAAGACAGGGTTTCTCTGTGTAGCCCTGACTATGCTGGAACTCTCTCTGTTCAGATCAACCTGCCTCTGCCTCCAGAGTGCTGGAACTAAATGCCTGCATTACCACTGCCTGGCTATTTTGCTGGTTTTAATCAATGGAAAGATGGTAGGTTTTTGTTAAATTTATTTTCTGAACCTATTAAAATGATCTAGATGATAAATAGCTTTCCCTTTGCTTCATAAAAAGTACAAAAACCCAAAGGTAAAGGAAATACACATGCAAATTTAGTGTATGTTAATGTATCATATTAATTTGGTGGGGGAGGGTGAAATTTTAGTAAATATAGCTAGGTGTGGTGGCTAATGCACTTAGGAGGCTAAGGTGGAAGGGTTGAGATTTCAAGGCTGATCTGAGCTATGGAGTGAAATCTTGTCTCAAAACAAAATAAAGTAAAATAAAAATTTTCATGTATTGATTGGGTGTTTCTTTTGCCAGCGTTTCACCACAGGAGCTGTACATATACAGAAGACAATGTCTGGAAGCTTCTACTTTGTAATTGTTGGCCACCATGACAATCCAGTTTTTGAAATGGAGTTTTTGCCAGCTGGGAAAGCAGAACCCAAAGATGAACATCGCCACCTGAACCAGTTCATAGCTCACGCCGCTCTGGACCTGGTTGACGAAAACATGTGGCTCTCCAACAACATGTACTTGAAAACTGTGGACAAATTCAATGAGTGGTTTGTGTCAGCTTTTGTCACTGCTGGACACATGAGATTCATCATGCTTCATGACATGAGGCAAGAAGATGGAATCAAGAACTTCTTCACTGATGTCTATGACTTATACATCAAGTTTGCCATGAATCCCTTTTATGAACCCAATTCTCCTATTCGATCCAGTGCATTTGAGAGAAAAGTTCAGTTTCTTGGAAAGAAACATCTTGTAAGCTAAATGCAGAAAACCTGAGAATCACAGTGGGGTATGCTCAGGAGTATATGCATTGTGAGTAGCTTGATAAAACATCCTGGTAATGGATCTCTGTGAGTTTGAGGCCAGCCTGGTCTACTGAGCGAGTTCCAGGGCAGCCTCCAAAGCTACAGAGAAATCTGTTTCAAAAAAAAAACAAAACCTGGTAAACTTCACATGTCTCAATTTAGCTGGATTATCATGAAATTTCTTTTGTATTTAAAAATCTCATTTTCGGGGCTGGAGAGAGGTTAAGAGCGCCGACTGCTCTTCCTGAGTTCAATTCCCAGCAACCACATGGTGGCTCCCAACCATCCATTATGAAATCTGGTGCCCTCTTCTGGTGTGCAGATATACACGGAAGCAGAATGTTGTAAACATAATAAGTAAATAAACTCTTAAAAAAATTAAAAATTAAAAATCTCATTTTCATGTTATATATATTAGTATTTGTTTGTAAGCAGTTATCAGTTATTTAAAATGTTTTATTTCAAAAATTAAGAATAAGCCTACATCTTTACTGATTGAGAAAATTTAAAAAAACCTTAGATTTATTTTATGTGTATGAATGTTTTCCTGCATACTATACAAACCATCTTCATGACTGGTGCCCCCAAGAGAACAGAAAAAGGCATGAGATCCCCTGGAACTGGACCTACTGATGGTTATGAGCCACAATCAAACCTGGGTTGTGAGTTCGAGACCAGTCACAGGCAAGATGACTACAGCAGTTAAAGTAGGTATATAGTTAACCTGACGTGCCAGCTGCCTGGGCACCATGTTCTCCAGGTCCTCCCTCACACAGCCACTCTAGGTCAGGTTCAGGCAGCTCCTTCCCATATCTGATTGTACCGTCATCACATCCTGGGACCTATCCTATCATTACTTTCCCATAGTGCAGTCAGGACTCTCACTGGCTGAGACATCTGTGGATGATGAAAGGGCAGGGTTCTAATACTAGCCTTGCTCTGCCTAGCTGTGGAAAACACAACTCGGAACTGGGGAGCCTTGGGATCTGTGAACACAGATACTGAGTCCTAGAGAACTGTTGGGAGATGGGACTCAAGGGTGGAGCACAAAATGTGGGCAAAAGCAAAACCTGACATGCAGGGGATGTGGACATCCAGTGTTTGCTATTAGAGAAATTGTTATTTGCAATACAATTATAATTTGCAATGAAATCACATGCTGACAACTGTTTTCCTGCAGGGGGTGCTGTCCACTCAGTAATGCGCAACAGACTTGCTGGGAGCTGGCAAATCGTCACAACCAAACACAGACATGTTCTTTGCTGTGTCTACTTATTGTTGACTTGGCCATAAGCAGTCCCAGACACATTAAGCAAACAAGACCATTCTTTAAAATTATGAAAGTGCATGTTTCCTGCAGCATACCTATAATCACCTGAGAAATATACCGCCCCAGCATGTCTACCACAAGGCTGCAAAGCAAAGCTCTGGCTTTAGAAATGTCCTGCTGAGACCTAGAGCTTTCATCTGTGGGGAGAGCTTGCCTTGAAGGCACAAGGCTCTGGATTAAATTCCTAATGCCATAAAGAAACAAAAGTTCAAAAGTTTATTACCTACCTTGCCTTCTCTGTGGGGACTGTGTTCTAACTCCTGCTCCTAGTATGATCTTTTTTTTTTTTTTTTTCTCCATTGATTTTGTTTTGTTTGTTTGTTTGAGACAGGATTTCTCTGTGTAGCTTTGGCTGTTCTGGCACTCGCTCTGGAGACCAGGCTGGCCTCAAACTCACAGAGATCCGCCTGCATCTGCCTCCTGAGTGCTGGGATTTTCTCCATTGATTTTGTGTAAACATGTTCGTGTATGTGTGGAGACCAGAGTGTTCCTCAGGTACCACCCACCTTTTTTTAAAATTTCCATTTATTTACGTTGTGTGTATACCACCAATAAACATGAAGATCAGAAGACGACTTGCAGGAGTTGGTTCTCTCCTTCCACTATGTGGGTCTCTGGGATCAAATTTAGGTAGTCAGATTAGCAGTGGCCACCTTTACACGGCACCGACATCATACTTTCGTCTTATAAAGGGTTCTTGCTGTATAGCCAGGTTTCAGTGCTGGAGTTTCAGCCATGAACATGTTCAGCTTCCCTAACAGGTTCCTGAAAACAGACAGTACTTAATAGTAAATAAAACCACAGATTTCCCTTTATAAAACATGAATGTACAAAGGGAAAGTTTATATATGTGACATTCAGAGAGAGAGAAAAACAGAGACAGGGACAGAGAAAACATATAAGAATACATGCAGAAAGAGAGATACCATATGAAGAAGATGAATAGGAAACACCTCTATGTGAAGATACTGAGAGAGAGAAAGAGTATCTAGATATTCACTTGAAGACAGAATCTTCATCAGCAACACACCCAACAATGACAACATCTTGTATATCTATCCTTCAGAAAAGTAAGAAGTAAATATTTCTCTATAACACAGGTTTGTGACATTCTATTCCACTAGAACCAACCTGAATTAATGACATATTTATTGAATTGGGATAATTATAGGGAACTTTTGGTATACCAGAAGCACCACTTTCTTTCTTTCTTCCTTTCTTTCTTTCTTCCTTTCTTTCTTTCTTTCTTTCTTTCTTTCTTTCTTTCTTTCTTTCTTTCTTTTCTTTCTTTTTCAGGACAGGGTTTCTCTATGTAGCTTTGGAGCCTATCCTGGCACTTGCTCTGGAGACAAGGCTGGCCTCGAACTCACAGAGATCTGCCTGCCTCTGCCTCCCGAGTGCTGGGATTAAAGGCATGTGCCACCAACGCCCGGCTTTGGAGCTGAGCTTTCTAAGCGGGACAGGAGCAGGTACAGAGCCCTCACCCTGTTGTTAACTTCTTGTGGGTCCACTTTTTCTGTCTCATTGTGTCCCCAGATCCTTCTATCACCATTTCCCAGCTACCAGGAGATGAACATTTTTGTTTTCCCACAAGTCCCCACCCTCATGTTCCATATCAGCGCAGGCCCAAAGCAACAGCCACACACCGCAGACCAAGCCTCTGAAACCATCAACCAGAACTAACCTCTTCTCCTTGTAAGTTGATTTTCTCAGGCATTTTCTCATAGGAAAAGAAAACTGATTAACTCCAGGGTAGAGAAAATGGTGAGGCCAGCTGCTGCAGAGATAGGGAGACCAGACCCAGGAATGTGCCCAGGAGCCATCCAGGACTCCCTGAACTAGGAGAGGAGGTGAGAAATGTACGCTAATGAAAGCATTTCCCGTGTGGGAAACGTCTTGAATGATGTCTCTGTAAGGAATCTGACTTCAATCTTTAATCTCAGAGCTCAGGAGGCAAAGGCAGGAGGATCTCTGGGCATTCACGACCAGCTTCATCACATGGTGAGTTCCAGGACATCCGAGGCTATACAGAGAGACCCTGTCACAAAAACAAAAGAAAAACCCTCTCAAAAACAAAAGAAAAACCCAGTCTATGCCCGATAGGTACAGCTTTAGGGTGGTCAGGTCAGAGATGTACATTGGGCTAATGACAGCTGGTGGCCAGTGAAGAAAGCTACCTGGGATGGACCAACTGGGAGCAGCTAGACACCTACAAAGTTTTGCAGTCATTCAAATGGACAAGAGACAAGAGTGGGGCAAAAGGAGGAGACACAGGGTGTGGGTAAAGATATCAGGTGTCTTAGTTACTTTTCTACTGCTGTGATGAGACACCATGACCACAGTAACTTATGAGAGAAAGCATTTGATTGGCCTTACAGTTCCAGAGGGTTAGCATCTGCAATAGCAGAGCAAAGGCATGGTGACAAATGCTTGGAGCAACAGCTGAGAGGTCACTTCTTGATCCACAAGCAAGAGGCAGAGAGAGGGAGGTACAATGAGAATGGCATGAATCTCTTGAAATGTCAAAGCTTGTCCCCAACCCTTCCAATGGGACAACACCTTCTAATCCTTCCCAAACAGTTCCACCAGTTGAGGAGCAAGTATTTAAACATATGGACCTATTGGGGCCATTCCTATTCAAATTATCACTCCAGGCAAAATGCACAACTGCCAGTTTCTTTGTGGTTTGCCTGTGAAATAGTCCCCACAGATTCATGTTTGAACACTTGGTCCCCAGCTGTAGTCACTGTTTTTACGGCTCAGTTCTGGGAGCATTAGGAGGTAGGCCCTGGCTGGAGGAAGTGGAAGGGAAGGAAGCTTGAAGATTATTTATATAGCCCAGCTGTTGGTGGTGGCATCGCACAACTTTAATCCCAGCACTCAGGAGGCAGAGGCAGGTGGATATCTGTGAGTTGGAGGCCAGCATGGTCTACAGAACTAGTTACAGGACAACTAGGGCTGTTACATAGAGAAACCCTGTCTTGAAAAAAAAATTATGTAGCTCAACTTCACTTTAGCCCCAATCTCTCTACTCTCCAGCTCAGCTACATGCCATGTAAAAAGTTCCAACAACATGCTTTGCCATCCTAAACACCATGCTTTCCCTGCAATGAACCTGTACCCTCTCAAACCATGAGTTTGAAAAAACAAAATAAACAAAAAAAAGAAAGAAAAAGAAAGAAAGAAAGAAAGAAAGAAAGAAAGAAAGAAAGAAAGAAAGAAAGAAAGAAAGAAAGGGAAAGAAAGAAAAGTACCTATAGCTGGGCATGGTGGTACACGCCTGTCCCGCGCTATATTCTCGCCGGCAAGAATCACACAGGACACTCGGATCCTTCTGCAGGAAAGCTTTAATGCATCTTGAGAGAGGAGAGCATAAGCTTACCAGAGTGGAGACCCCGAGCCAAGAATCCCGTCC